CTTTTGGTCACTGGAAAGTTCCTACTGGTGTCGAACGGCTACCAGAAAAAAAGCTTCAGGCGATGGTTCCTCATAGACAAAAGTTGAAATATCCCTTTAATACGATTGATGGAGTCCTGTCTGTTGCTCTGTGTGTGTGTGTGTGTGTGTGTATGGATGTTACCCTGTTCTTCAGAGGTGGTTTCTATCCACTGAAATGAAAAATGGCAGAGATTGAAGCGTCAGGTCCGGTGCTGATGCTCCGCCTCGCTCAGACAGTGTTCTCAGATGAAGACCACGTGTTTAAAGTGGCCGGTTGTAGTTGAAATACACATGCAGCCCATTGACTGGGTGCACAATGGGCACAGTCTGCATCTTGGGAAAGTTCTCAGTGGCCAGAGTCCAGCTGCAGGTGGCGATCAGTTCCACAGCCAGAGTCTTTAGAATGATCTGAGCCAGTTCTTTACCCACGCAGCTTCGAACGCCACCACCAAACGGCACGTAGTTGAACCGGGCTGACCGGCACTCGTCACGGTCCCGTCCGAATCGATCGGGATCGAAGAGCTCAGGACTCTGGAAGACCTCTGCGGTCTCATGGGTGTCCCTGATGCTGTACATCACACTCCAGCCTTTAGGGATTTGATAGCCCTGTTACATCAGAACAGAAATCAGTACAAGATCAACAAACCTCAGAACAACTGTGCAGGGAGTACGTTTTAAAGTTTAAGTTCAAGTTTCTTCTACACAAAGGTCTTTGGAGAACAGCTGTGGTTTAAGCTAACAGGAATATGGAAGCTTCTGACCCACTGCTGCCTCATGTGGTCAGTTTATGTCACTCTAGTGAATCCAGTTTTGAAAAACTGAAGTCATTCTATAAGTGACATTATACTGGAAACAATGTACTGTGATGTGGTATTATTGGATTACTCTGTGGGATTTGCTGAGAAGAGAAAATGTATGATTTATAAATTCAGGTTTTTAAAAGTATTCAAAGTATTTAACTTGACATATTGATCTTAAGCTGATCATATTGTTACAGGTACAGGTCCATAAATTCTGACGACTTTCTCTATTTTCTTTTCCTTCTGGTAGATCACACAGACGTTCCGTCTTGTGTCTTGAACTTACATCTAATTCAAACGTCTTCAGTGCCGTCCTGTACCCTCCAGACACCGGGGGCAAAAAGCGAAGCACCTCTTTGACAATACAGTCAACGTAGCACAACTGGGTCAGATTTTCGAGGCTCAGTGTTGGAACATGAGACCGAGGCTGAGGAGCGGCTTCACTCTTGTCACCGGTCAGCAGGCGGCTCGTCTCCATGATGCTCTGTTCAGCCTCGACCTCCGTTTCTGCTAGCACGCTGGTGCAGACATTAGCGCTGTTCGGCTGGTACCCGAGACCCTCGGCCTCCAGCTCTGCCCTGGCCCGATCGACCACTGCTGGGTGACGGAGCAGCTGCAGGATGAGTGACGTGGAGGCGCTGGCTGTGGTGGAGTGAGCGGCAAATATCAGCTCTACTGCAGTCTCCTGGGGCAAAAAGGTACAAGGATTTTAAAAGGACTACTAGTTAAAAATGAATGTTTGTCTACAGAAGGCAAAATATTTTTATGTTTTTAATATTGGACTGATTTGGCTTCTTTGTACCTTCAGCTCTTGGATGCTGAGCTCCTGCCCGTGCTCTTGGGCACTGGACAGCATGTAGTCGAAGGCATCGTTGTACTCATTATCCTGCGTCTGCTGCCGCTCCATCTTCTCCTCGATGATTTTCTCCATGTTGGCATGAAGGATTTCTCTGGCCTTTATTCCCTGAAGACATTGTCAACATAAAAAAAAATATGAGAAAAAGGAACATCAACAAACTGAGGTGTTGACAACAAGGCTAGACTAAACAGGCAGAGCCCAACACGATCATGATAGGTTGGACTGTGATGGGTGAGGCAAGGTTTGGTGAGGTAAACCTGCCTAGCAACCGCAAAGAAAACTATCTATTAATCTATTAATAACAGACTAAGAAAGCATCGGAAGCAAAAAAGAAAAAACGCCCTGTGCAGTTAAAGAGATTTTGAACTGGCTAGAAATTATTTTTTCCATCCATCCATTTTCATCCGCTTATCCGTAACCAGGTTGCGGGGGCAACAGTCTGCACGACCACCACCCAAATCACACTGCACCGTACCAACCCCCCTGAACCTTCCTGTGGGTGGTGAGTCCTGGATTTAATCTCGCCCAGGAATTGAACTGTACCCTCCAGACACCATTGGCGTTCCACACCAATGACATGGCCATGAAATTATTTTTTAATATATTTTTGTGAAGTGAGAGTGAAATTATTGCATAGCAGCCTTTACTTTTTACATTGGTCAAATGAAATAGGCACACACCCAACCAAAATCTTTACCTTTCGAAGGCCACTGAGCGGAGCGTCTATGGGCAGAGAGAACAGGTTGTTCATCAGCTGCTCAAAGATACTAGCCAGGTACACTATGCGCTCCTCCTCCAGCTGCAGGCCCAGCAGGACCTTGACAGCGATGCGAAACGTCAGCGACTTGGCGGCGTCATAGACATTGATGGAGCGAGGAGAGGCGGAGCACCACTTGGCGATTTCGAACTTGACCACGTTCTGCAGCCGAGGCAGGTAGGACTCCAGCGCCCCGCGGCTAAAGACCTTAGCCAGGATCTGGAACAAGTTTGAGGAAGCAAAGACAGAGAGGAGTCATAAAAATTTACGACCTGGTACAAGGTTGTCAACACCTTTAAACAAACACTGACATCTGAGCAACAGGAGACGAAAAGGGGGGGTAGAGGGGGCACAAGTCTGGGTGGAGCTGGGAGATGGAAAAGATGCAGAAAGGAAGACTGTGAGATGGAAAAGATGCAGAAAGGAAGACACCGTTGACTCGACCAAGAAACTGGAATCACTGGTTTCCTCTTTGACTTGTGTGTACTGTGTGTGTGTGTGTGTGTCTGGTCCAGAGGTCGCCCACCTTTAATGTTAGTTTGACTCATGTGTGGTGTTACTTGTATTCCTTCTTACCTTCCTCTTCCGTTTGTGCAGGTCTCCGATGGAGTTGACCAGGGTGTTGGGTCCCAGGATGATGCGGGTGCTCTGGGGCCACTGTGTGCACACCAGACTGTGCTCCCCCAGCAGGATCTTACGGATGTTTTCAGCACCCGTCACTCGGACCAAGGGCTTCCCGAGGAGATGGGTCTTAAAAACGTTGCCATGACGTTCTCGACGTGAAATGTGGAAATTAGAGCCCTGAAGAACAAGAAAGTGACAGATAAAGGTAGAGTCCTTTTTCACTGAGTAAAATCATTTTACTAAGGGTTCCCCTTGGCCGGATAAAGGTCTTTCTTTTTTCAACCATGTCTTGTGTGTAATCTAGTTGTGTTGTGTCTAAGTTTTAGCTAAGTTTTCTGCTAACTTTTATATATTTACGTGCTAATGTTAGTCGCCTTCTGATTAGTTTCACCTTCATTTCTCATTTCATTACTATCGTTAGCTTCATCAGTTTACGTCTTTTCCTTTAAACTACGTCTTGTTTTGATTTACAGTCATTTCCCGAGGATTGAGTAAAAGGTCAAAGTTCACCTGGAAGAGCCAGTGGAAGGTCTCTCCCACCATAGGCCAGCCCATGGAGCCTCTGGGCAGTGGCAGAGAACTGGTCTTGTCCCGAGTCAAGGTCCAGCGCAAAGTCCACAGTTGCCGAGTCAGAACCAGCAGCAGGAGCGCGCACAGCAGTGACGTGAGCGCTGTCACCAGTGCTGACAGCGCTCCAAACTGGTCCAGAGGGTAGAACATGTCCAACTCCCAGCATGCACCTGGCTCTGCTGAGCAGCAACAGTTTCAGGTAAGTTTGTGAAAAGTGGTTGTTGAATCTGCTGTTCCTTCTCTGAACTCCTGATGTAAACACAGATCATCAGTTTGTTTGTTTTACTTTACGTTTCATTGCTCGACAAATAGAAATGAAAATCTGCATTTATTTATTTTATTGCACTTTTTGTTGTATTGTCAACTAACTAAGGTCATTGTATATTATTATTATATATTAGTTGTTGTATTGTCAATTAACTAAGGCCATTGTATATTATTATTATATATTAGTTACCCTTTCATTTAAAATTTACGAGGTCACGATAACAGTTTAAATCAACTATCATTATGTTTTTTTATTTAAAAATATTATTTTATATAAACATATAACAGGAATTAATTATGGGGAAACACAGTCAACACTGGAACTGTAGAAGTGGCTTTTAAATAAATTCTAGCTATTTTGTATCTCACCAATTCCTTTAACGAAAAAAAAATTCTGAAGATTGACATGTGAACAATAAACTATACAAAGAATAAAAACACAACATGGATTATCTACATAAACAAACAACACCTCAGTGATAAAACAAACATTTGTCAGTTAAATAAAGCAAAAGAAAAGAAAAGCAAAAAAATCACTGATAAAAATAAGAGTCAGAAACAAAAAGATTTATCAACTGTAAAACACAATAACAAAATAAAACTGTGTAACAACTACATTTTACTGCAGCAATATAAAATTAAATATTAAAGGATTTATTGTTAATTAGGTAACCGTGTATGGAGTAAAAAAATATTTTTGGGGTTTAACAATAAAACTAAAACGTCTCATAAGAAGTTAAAAAAATGTGTGTACTTCCATATTTACTTAAATCTAAACTGGTAACCAAATACATAATACTGCAACTCACACACCTTTAATTTTAAAATATAAGGTTTAAGAGGTAAACATACGCCAATTTAAATGAGCTAATTTTGTTAAAAACCAGTAGGAAAAATAACAAACACATTGTAATTGTTAAATACACATATAGTTTTTGTCCAAAATAATATTTGATAAATGAGTATTAATCAAAATACATTTTAAAAAATGCTAAAAGTGCTTTTAAAGATAACTTAATCTAATTAAGTTTGATATTTTTCTTTGTAACATGTGACATGTAAAAAAAATAAAACATTGCAATTTACAAATTAATTACAAATCAGATCCATTGTTTAAAACGAATGTTCTGGAATCAGCAAAAATATAAAATACAAACAAGTATAAAACCCGTAAAAAGTTTTTCTCCATTAAATGTGATGAATACTTTAATGTAAAGAAACTAAAACTCAATGTTTGATCAGTGTAAATATTAAAACACTGTCAAAAATGAAAAGTTCCTGCTGTGGGAAAGTAACTGTGAACCAAAAAAAAATTATTCACAAACCCAGTTTGTGCAGGTGGAGATAATTGTCTTGTTTAAAAATATAAGAGATAATTTATTCCTGTGAGAAACAGTTTCAGTAAAACGTGTTCTGTGTGTATTTTCGTGTGTGCGTGTGTGTGTCTAAACTATTCCAAATAGTTTTACAGCAGTTACATGCAGCAGCTTGTTCTATCAGCGTCTGCTCCTTTTTATAGCAACACAGCACTTCACCACAAACTTGAAGACCAGATTTAAACTCAGATTAAGATCAAAAATGCCCAGAGTGTACATCAAACCATCGGATTAGACCTAGTTTATTCTCAGATTAAACTGTGACTCTGCCGCTCACACGCGTATGTGTGGGTGAGCTGCAGCGCCGCTGCCTGACCTGCAGGGGGCCTCGTTCAGCCAAACTCACCTGAACTCTAATGATGATGAGAATGGTGATGATGACGATGATGATGACGTGTGCGTCCTCGAGCTGCGGCAGAAAGAGAAGCGCGCGAGCCTCTGCTGCTCGCTGCTTTATATGAGGAGAGAGGAGGAGGAGGAGGCGGTGACGTCAGCAGCAGAGGGTGACGTCACTGCGCATAATGTGAAGAAAGAGAGGGCAGAGAGGGAGAGAGAGTGAATGAGAGACAGAACGTGTGTGTGCGTGAGAGAGAGAGAGAGAGAGACAGAGAGAGGGAGAGAGAGAGCAGCTTTGCTCCAGGTATGATCTGCTTCTGTTGGTCCATTGTTTTAAAGATGAAGATGAGGTGATGAAGTTTGGAGGAGGATGGAAGAGAGAAAGAAAGACAGATAAAGAAACAAAGGAAATGAAAGAAAGAATCAGAGAAACAAAGAAAGAAATATTTTTTAAAAAAGTGGAATGTAAAATAGACAGAGAGAGAGAGAGAGAGAGAGAGAGAGAGATGAAGAATCAAAGGGTCCAGATGAAGTCACTGCAGCAGAAAAAAACAGAGAGAAAGAAACAACAAATGGACGTAGAGAGAGAAACAGAAAACTGCAGTCTTTGGAAAAAGATCAAGAAATAAAATGTACAGTTGATTAATGACTCTGTGGAGCAAAAATGATCCATACAAGTGGAACGGCGAGTGTGTGTGTGTGTGTGTGTGTGTGAGTGAGGTATCACTGCTGAACGTCAGTGACTCGTCCTCCAGTCAGTAGTGTAGTATTGACATCTCAGTCAAAACTACACTACTGAATGGAGGACGACATCACTGGAACAGTCCCGTGGCTTCATGCCTGACTGGCCTGCCTGCGGTCCAGATCTGTTTCCCAGTGAAAACGTGTGAAGAGGAGAATCAGAAAAATCCACAACAATACGAGTCCTTAGTTCAAACACTACTAAAAGGTGTCAGGATTTGGCCCAGCGGTGTCGGAGTGTGTCGCAACCGTCGATAAATCTTTTCTGATTCACCGGTGAAGTGAACAGTCACACAGTTCTGTGAAAACATAAATCTGTTGAAGAGGGAAATTCCACATACACACACACACGCACACACACACACACAGAGATGCACACACACACAACTACGCCTTCTTATCAGATTTCGTGCCAGTGGAAGACAAAATACTCTGAGAACATTTAACTAACCAACGCTTTTTATATATAATTGACTTGTCATTCTCATTTCTCTTTCTGCTCTAAGTTGGTTTTTAAACCGTACAGAAAATGGAACAAAAATAACATGTGATTGAGTGAATATAAATAATGCCAAATAGATTGAAGTAATGATAAAGTAGAGGTGAAAAAATAAAAACGTAAACTCAATATTAATAATGGTGCCAGAAAACATGACATCTTATACACAAGATAAAGAAATTTATAAAAAATATTTATAAAATATTAAATAATATGAGAATTTTAAAATATAATCAAGTAAAGTAATTATTGTCTGAAGGTAAGATAACTTGTATAATTTATATAAAAACGTAAGTTAAACTTTTTTGATCCCACACTGGGGAATGTGTTGGCTGTGAATTGAACCCAGGCCAAGTGTTTGGTAGGCAGCTCTGCTAACCACTGTACCACCAACGCAAGACAAAAGTTCAAAGTTCACGTCTGTTATTTTTATACCGTAATTTTCTGAATCCTCTTTTCAAATGTACATCAATGACACAGACTAACCACACGAGGCAGTGTTGGAGCAGAATCTTCATTGTGCACTGAAAAGGTTTTTCTTAATGAAATTTGGTGTTTGACAGTAAGTGGTGTCTCCGTCGGTGAGTCCCCGTCAGGTCTTAGGTCTTCAGTGTGGATGTCACAACTGTGAAACCAGAGACGGGCTGAGGAGATTAAACCTTCATAGACGCAGCAGCCTGAGGCGCCGCTGCAGTAAGATCTTCATTTCACAAGCTTTTAAAAGCTCAGGATTAGCATTAGCTAAAATGGCCCTTTAGCTGCGAGAGAGACAACAGAACAGGATATGCATTTTGGCAAATGTGTGTGTAAACACAAGCAACCTTTTTTCTTTGGGAAGCTCCGCCCCTCCCGACATGTGTGTTCTCAGGTTTAATGACTGACAACACAACCAGGATTATCTTGGTCGGCCCACGCCGTGGTTGGGTGGGCCTTAATCTGATTCCGCTGGTTTGTGACAGAGATGTTTACCCTGGGAGTCAGCCTTGTCTGAGGGGCCGTCCTGGCAGCAGGGGGCGCTCATATTGTGTATTTCCGACCGACAGTTCATCAGTGATTTCCAGTCTTGTGCCGGGAGACACATTTCATTTCATTGGTCTGAAAATTATAGTTTACTTCCCGCAAATCCTTCGACCGCCGTGGGGTTCCTGAGATACGACCTGCTGATTGGCTGATTGACCTTCTCTATCTTTCCATCTCTCTGAGATCTTTCCAGCTGTGATAATGTTCCATCGACAGTTTTCCTCTCTCAGTCAGTAGTCAGTGATGTCTTTATTTTTTTACCTCTCCTCCTGAAGCCTCAGATTCTCATCATAAATCTCAGACTTGACTTGATCTGTCAGTACGACCACTGTTGATCCAAACTCTTTTCTTCTTTTTTTCTTAATGTTTCATATATTTTCACTCCTTAGATTTTCTTTCCGACTGCATCTCCTGCCCTCATCGATGAATACGTGAATCTTTGTCTGCCCTTTTTTTTTTTTCAGAACAGAAGTCCTTTTTTCAGAGGTCGTGACCCCAGACCTCGGCCCGATCACCTGATACACCGGCATTCCAACTCGACCAGGAGTTCCACCTGAAGGATAATGAACCAGAACAGCGGTAGTCCTGGTCTTTCCTCTCCAATGAATTTATGTTTTTTTTTTATCAAAACCACATCTAATATCATCGTACTAACTTCTACTAACTACTTCAGCAGTTTTTAAAAGAGGTATTTTAGGGGTTTTAGCATTAACTTGATTTTTTTTTCTGTACCTCTCTCTCACTTTTCTGCAGACACACACACACACACACACACACGGTCCCTGGAGGAGGCTGTTTAGAAAAGGTGGCGACTTGGAGAAAGGAGGAGAGAATCAAAGGAAGGACGACTAGAAGGAAGGGAGGCAGGAGGTGAGGTGTGGGGGGGGTAGAAAAAACGGTGGATCAACATCACCAGCTTTTTCAAACACACATTATTTTCACAGATTTCTCACAAATTGATAACATGCCAATCAGTGTTGGCTGTAAGTTAGAAATATTCAGGGGTGGGGATAAAAAAGTTCATACCAACGGTGAGTTGGTGGCGCTAAAGTGAAGGAAAAGGACACTGAACCACAACTCAGAGTGATTTTCCTCTGGTCGATCATCCTGGAGGAACTGGTTCAGTCTGGTGTCAAAGAAAGTTTTTCTTTTTCTTCTGTCAATCACAATAAATGGAGAATCTTTGATGAAGAAGTAAAAGACTCTTTTTTTCTGCCTTTCAAAGCATTTTCGGAGCTTTGACCTGCACCGGCACCCCCCAGTGGACGACGACTTCCCGTCTCGATGTAGAGCTGCCAGTCAGGAAAGGTGAGGGTGAGTGTGAGGTGGTGATGGTGGTGGTGGTGATGGGGGGGGGAGAAGGGGGGGCATGCTGTCAATTTACAACGGAAGCGTTGGTGGGACATTTTACACCATCCTTCCTGGAAACCCAACGCCGCGACGAGCAGCTGAGCAGCAGGAGGGAGGAGAGAGAAAGTTTTCACTCGTTCCCCGGAGACGAAGGAAGATGAATGAAGAGGAGGAGGAGGAGGAGGAAAAGAGAGGAGGTGAGACAGGGGTGACAGACAGGTAATGGTTCAACATATGGACCTGCAAATGATTTCTCCATTTGTCAAGATGTTCGGTTCAAACACAGACGACAACTGACGGCAGCCTTTAATAAATGGATTTAAAAATAACAAGAAATAATAATAATATTTCTGTAATATTTCAAGCAGATGATAGTTGTTTTTTTTAAAGAACCAGATTTGTGAGCAGCTCACGCTTCTTTTCTGAAGTCCACAGTCTAAATCAAGAATTTTAGTGCGAGGTTAGACAGAGGCCGCTTGGCTACTGCTGCCTCTAGTGGTCATTTTGTGTCACTAAGGTAAATCGAATTAAAGAATTACAATTACAGAGAGTTTTAAAAATAACAGATTTAAACGTATTAATGGACGCAGCCGTTGTTCATGTGTAAAATCACCACCTCACTCTGTGGGAAATGAAAGTCTTTTGGTTCAAAAAAAAGTTGCCAAATACAGCAGTGAGTTAAAAAGGTGTAAATACGACAGCGAACGTGTAGGACTGAAGTCTGAGGCCGGACTGTTCTGCCCTCAGGGCTGAAATACCTGACGGAGGGAAATGACCACTCCACTGGTGACCCACCTGTGTGTGTGTGTGTGTGTGTGTGTGTGTGTGTGTGTGTGTGTGTGTTCTTTGTTTACTGTGATGATGGAGTAAACAAAGCACAGAGGAAGTGTCCTTTATGTGAGGGAAGAGTGTCCGTCCAGCCCTGCAGTCACACACACACACACACACACACACACACACACACACGGAGCAGCTTCCCTCAGGCTGTGATTACTGAGCTCACACACTGTCTGGATGTTGGAAACACTGTCATCAAGGCAGAAGTGTGTGTGTGTGTGTGTGTGTGTGTGTGTGTGTGTGTGTGTGTAATGGCATCACAGTTACTACAAATTCCTGTGTCCAAGTATCATGAAATATATATGTATATTTACAGTTTATATATAGATAAAAAAAATATGACAAACTAAATTATTTTTGTTAAACACAGACTAATTGAGACAGAAACTGTGAGACAAGTGTGAGACAAGTGTGAGACAAGTGTGAGACAAGTGTGAGACAAGTGTGAGACAAGTGTGAGACAAGTGTGAGACAAGTGTGAGACAAGTGTGAGACAAGTGTGAGACAAGTGTGAGACAAGTGTGAGACAAGTGTGAACAAACACTGTCACAGTTAAACACTGTGAGACAAGTGTGAGACAAGTGTGAGACAAGTGTGAGACCAGGTGTTTATGGTTTTCTTCTTTTATTGGAACATGAGCCCCGAGATTTATCCAATCAGCTTTCAGAGTCTGAGAATGGAAAAAAAAAGGTCAGTACAGATGTGAGGGAGTGGAGACTGATGGGCCGAACGTCTGCTGCCCACACACAGTCACACACACACAGACACACACACACACACACACACACAGTCACACACACACAGTCACACCCACACAGTTCTGTGTGTGTGTGTGTGTGTGTGTGTGTGTGTTAAGATTTTCTGTCAAATTATCTGCAGCAGCTGGATGTTTAAAAGACGGCGGCACAGCAACCTGCGATTGAAGTCGAGCTGTGTGTGTGTGTGTCTGTGTGTGTGTGTGTGTGTGTGTGTGTGTGTGTGTGTGTGTGTGGATTATCTGCTGTTCTTCCTGGATCATTGTCCTCTCACCTTTACCTGCAACAACACGTTTGCATGAAACCCTGCATTAGTGTAGATCTGAACACGTGTGTGTGAGAGTGTGTGTGTGTGAGAGTGTGTATGGGTGTGTGTGTGTGTGCAAGAAAACTACTCAATCCATCCTGTCGCTTTAGAGGTGAGAGCTGTGATTATACTGTCTGGCCTGAAACCACCTGTCGCGTGTGTGTGTGGGTGTGTCAGTGTGTGGGTGTGTCGGTGTGTGTGTGTCGGTGTGTGTGTGCTCGACACATTTAACCTTTTCAGAGCAGCACGTCAGCCCCACCACGAAGAACTCTTCTTTTGAAATCTGTCAGGTTGAACACAAACACACGGAGATACGTTTCCAAAGAAGGTTGGAGGTTTGTCAGGTGACGCGTCGACCCCTGTGTGTGTGTGTGTGTGTGTGTGTGTGTGTGTGTAAATCCTCCGTTTAAACTGTTGACATCTTTTCATCGTCACGTCAGGATTAATGTTGACTTGTTTTGACGCTCCTCTGACATCAGTTCAACCAGAGAGAAGAGAAAATCTGACACCGACAAGATAAAGAACTGAGAGATAAACAATAAGGGCCGTAAACTTTAACTTAAAAAATTGTTTTTTTTACAGTTTGAGAATAAAATGTTGATCACAGTAAACATATGTATTAAGAACTAAATAGTTCAGGTTGTCCTTGTCAGCTGCTGGTCTCATCTTTCTACTCTGGGTTCGGTCCAGTCTTACTTTTCTTCGTTTATTCCTTTTAGATAAATGTATTCTATTGGCTGTAACCGTGACGAGTCATCGATACACTGATGGATGACGTTTGTGAAGATGAAGCTGGAGCTTCATTCAGACTGACACACACTAAAGAGTGTGTGTGTGTGTGTGTGTGTCTGAGAAAAAATATTTTTCCACCACCAGCTAGAAATATCTTGATTTTATTCTAAATTGTTTTCTTATTCTCAGCAGAAACATGTGTAAGTGAAAGACGTGTCGCTGAGGGATATTTAGTTTTGAAGTAATTCCATTCCAGCAATTCTTAAAAAATAAATAAAAATAAAAACAGGTTCAAATGAAAGCCACAAGTATAATGTGAATCTATGAAGTAATGGGAATATAATTATATAAACAAATAATAAGTAATTAGTCTATAAATGTGGAGCCAGAGAACATCAATCATTCACTCATTATCTCACACTTCTTCCGTCTCAGGGTCGCGGGGACATCAATCATGTCTCCCTCAGATGTAACGCAGTTTTACTGTTAAAAACATATTCAACTGTCTTTACAAAATTAGGAAAAAAAACATTTAATACAAAATCTAGAATTAATATACTTCTGTACAAAATATAACAAATTACTGTATATTATAAATAGACTTTTTAAAGTTTTAAATGATTATTTTTCTTCCCAAAAATGCTTTAATAATATATTGACAATTTCATCAGAAAATGTATAAATATGATCTTTTTTTTTTCATACTGTTTTTAACCAATAATTTTCCACTTAAAATATTGCTCCTATCAGAGCCTGATATCAGATGGTAACAGTGGTTTTAGAGGTGGGGGAGGGTCCGGGCTCCGGTCCCTGAGGGGCCACCACAGTTGTGCACATCTGAGACAGTTAGGTGTTTTTATAAATGTCCTCCATTAAATGTGTGCGTCACCTTTGCCTTTGTCTCCACAGTAACTGGATTAAGAATCAGCCTGATGAATCGACTGTCGCAGCCAGTTAAAAAAGACATTAGAGAACAGGAAACAGGAGCTGCTGCCTCGTGTGGTCGGTTTGTGTCACTGAGGGGAATATGAACAAAGACTTTTGAACACAAACCTTTTATATTTGAACTTTGTGATGACGGCAGTTTGTTTGAAGTTTGAACTGATTCCAATCATTTGCTTTATTTCCGCTGGAAATTATTGCTAATTTGAAATTATTATTTTTTAAAAATGAAGAAGAAATAATATCAGCAGCAGAAGCCTAGCTTTGCTGCTGACTACTTTTGAATATAGAGTCACAAATAGATGTGAGCTTTCTCTGATGTTTTGAATATAGAGTCACAAATAGATGTTAAACGGTGGATCTGATCAGGTGACACTGACTCGTGGAGCAGCAGATAAACGCCGCCCTTCTTTATTTCTAAGCCAAGCTCAGATCACAGAGCGGAGAGGCAGTGATGCCGTGGTTCCTCCTCAGCGCTGAGTGATCATTTTGTTTGTTCGCAGTGTCAGTGTGAGGTCTGAGGAGACTAAAGGTCAGAGGTCAGAGCAGAGGACCCTCTGCTCAGTGGATTCTGCTGTGCTGAGACAAACTGAGTCAGTGTCTGATCATCAGCTTCTCCATCCCTGCACCCAAACCATGAGTCGGCTAAAAAGAAAGCATGACTCCAGATTTTATTAACATTTGACTGTCTCCATGGCAACCATGAATGGATGTGTACCTCCTTATCATTGCTATTTAAATGAATTACTGAAGGAGAGAGGCTAATGACTAGTACATGTGTGAGGTATTTGTGATGTGAAAATGAGTGCTGTTGATGTTGGGGTTCATGTAGAACAGTAAACCAACAAATGTTTCAAGATCGTCACGTCTTTTTGATGAACTCAATGGACGAGGACTAACTCTGGACACAACAGAAACCTGTGGCTTTGCATAAATGAGAGAACGTGTGATTGACCGTCCTGCCTGCAGTGCAGATGTGGCTGCTGGTTTTTTACAGCAAAAATTTGCAAAACCCCAGCACAAAGGGTATTATAAATAAAATATAAAGTTTCTCAGTTAGTTTATAAGGAGTAAGGTTAGTCAGTGAAGACATGCAGGACATTTAGATTTCCTTTTTTTTATTTCAGGTTTTGATGAGGTCAGCTTCTCTCTCAGGTAGCTGGGGGAGAGCCTCAGAACTGCAGTTGTTTGAGTTTTTATTGTTAGTTTGGACTGAGTCGACTCAGCAGATCCTCATTAAAGAGTTTAATCCCTGACTCACTGCTGCTGTCTTTTCTTCTTCTTTGTGGAAGGAGAAGGAGGAGAAGGGCTGACAAAACAAAGACCCTGGAAGAAAAAGAAGAGGGAAAGTGCAGAACAGAGAGCAGGAGGAGGAGGAGGAGGAGGAGGAGGAGCTTTCATCATCATCAGCCTCCTGTCAATCACTGTGATGAATGAGTCGCTCAGGGAGCAGAAATATGACTGAGTCTGGGATTTGGTTAGTACCCGGTCACTCAGTGTGTGTGTGTGTGTGTGTGTGTGTGTAAATGAGTCCAGTAGGGGGCGGCGGCACCCTGGTGCACATTGTTACAGTGATTGACAGCTTTAGCAACTAAAGGCACACACACACACACACACACTGACAGTCAGTCAAAAGTGTCACCGTCCTCACACACTTCATAGATTCTTTTATCATCAAACATTTGACCACATCACCTGAGTAAATGTCCCCTTTGACCTCAGCGTGACGGTGTCTTTAATGCTGGACTTCATTCTTTCATGTTATTTAATTAATTCACTGATACCATTGCAGGAGGGTTTGTGGACGTCCTGAAAGAAGACATGGAGACTTTTGGTTTAAAACCAGGGGAGAGAGGATCGGGTGAGACGGAGGCAGAGGATCCAAAGAAGAAGAAGAAGAAGAAGAAGAAGAAGAAGAACCAAGAAGACACCATGGTGTAGGTATTCATGTTCATTCCTCTAAATGTATTTGCTCAACAGTCTGCAGGCCTAGACCGCTGGCAGGCCTCTCAGGTAGCTGCTCTCCTTTATTACTAAACTATGGTGTTGTTACATGTGTGTAATTTGGCCTTTGATAGACTGAGACTGTTCTCCGAAGATTACCGAAGACAGAAACACACGGGGGCGCTCACACAGACACACAGTGCTCTGCTAATCAGCTGTTAGCCCACTGTCGCCTGTAGCTAATTGAAGTATTTGTTTGGCAAACAGCCGGTCTGATTTGGCCTCTATCTCTGCTCCGCCCTCCCACTGTTCCTTCACCTTCTCACATTTCCCATCTTTCCATCTTTCCGTCTACTTTAACGCCGTTGGAACCTGGAACCATCCTCAGCTTCAAGGGCTTCACAGGGAGTTTGTCCTGTAGAAGACGTACAACGAGACGCAGACCCTCATTCTGATGGTGAAAGTCAGTGTCATTTTTTTTGTTCCTACTAATAATGTGATAATGTGTGTGTGTGTGTGTGTGTGTGTGTGTGTGTTTGGAGGTGTGAGCAGTGAATTTGATCCTGTGTTATCTCAGCTCAGGATGTGCAGTAAACACAGACAGCAGGTGATCGTCAGTGTTATCAGCTGACCACTGATAACACACTAATACACACACACACACTCATTAAAGTAGGGAGGGGCTAATGGGCTTCTCCTCCACACCCACTGTATGATTAACAAGTGACACACACACACACACACTTAATGAATATGATGAACACAAATTTGTGACACACACCTTCTGGTTTTACCACCAGGTGAACTTGAACACACACACACACACACACTCATAACAAAATCATCTCAGCCTTTGTTTATATTTTCTATTTTTCCATAAATGATGATTAAATAATGATGAACTTTTTTATGACCTAATGGTTTGTGTTCAGTTGAGTGTGAGGTGATTTGATGTAAACATCATTTACTGAAACAGTTGACGTCTCAGACCACCAGCCACTGAGCCACTGAGTCGACGCGGTACCAGGGTTTGACTTCAACCAGGTGGAACCCGGTTCTGGATCTGAGCCCAGGTTTATTTTAGACCAAGTTGAACAGGATTTACACACCGCGGCACTGCAGGGCAACGACATGAGATATGTCGAGTAATTGCTGTTAATTAGGGCCATTAGGGCGTGTGTGTGTGTGAGTGAGTGAGTGAGTGTGTGTGTGTGTGTGTTGTGGTTTATCACTTAAACCCAGGTGAGGTGTAAGGTCTGAACTTTTAACACCTGCCTAAATATCTGTTCAAATCAGCAGGTGAATAAACAGAGACTTTTGTAGTTTTACTCCGTGCTGCTGCTGTGAATATCATCACCGAGGATGGAGCTCACTGCCAACTGTAGCCCTTTTATTTGGAACATAACTTATGTTTAACTTTCTATTAGTTAATCTTTTTTTTTCTGCTGTGAAATTGGTGTGAAAGTTTCGAGTGAACAGAGGCTAAAATAAGTTTAACTTACACTTTTAAAACACCAAATAAGGACAAAAGAAACTGGAAAAAAAACTAATAAATAAACACATTCATTAGAGGTAAATTTAGGGAAGATTAAATAGGCCTAATTAGTAAACAAAGACTTGAAGCCAGAACATGGTGACGGTCAAAAACCAACATCTTTCTGTGATAAATGCTGTTAGAGTTTGATCACCACCCAGGGACTAAATGACTGTTTATGTTTGAGTGAATGAGCAGAGCTAACAAAAAAAAATCACTGAGGAAAGGTTTTTTTTTTTCACAGGAGAGACACGTCAGTGACGGCGTCTGCAGCACAGCAGCTGGATCTGTCTGAGGTGAAGTTCCTGCGTCTGAGTCACAACAAAGACAAGAATGTGGAGGCTGTGAAAGGAACTGCAGCAGCGTCTTAGTGTGAAACGCTGCAGATTTGTCCTTACCTGCAGGAGACACATACCTGCTGGGAGAGAGGGCGGAGCCAGCAAGCAGTAGGTGATACAGTACACACACACACTCACACACACACACACACACAGACATTCCTGGAAACAATTATGTTGAACACACAAACATACTGTACACCAGAACAGACGTGTCATTTTCGACACTGTACACAAAATTTTGACATTCTTTCATACCTGGATGTTTAAGGTACATTACCCAGTCAGCACTGAGTGTACTGAGAGCGCCCCCTGCTGTTACAATCAGCCTGAGAAAGAGAGAGGCTTGGTCTTTGTTAGAACAACAGCCAAAAACTGAACTCTCCTTAAAACTCTTTAATCTCGCATTAATAAAGTTCCATCTAATCTAATCTAATCTAATCTAATCTAATCTAATCTGATCTAATCACTGTTCAAGTCTTATGTCTTTAGGATTTTTCTTCAGTGTGAGACCGTAGCCAGTGTACAGTCTGTAGACCACTTACTCGATCAGACCGAAGCCCATAGAGAAAATCAGAGATTTTAGATCATCATGACACAGGATGCTGGTCCTTTGCTGCCTCGTGTGGTCACTTTGTGTAACTGGGTTAAAAAAAAAATCAAGATTTTTGATAACTGGAGTTGTGATGGAGGAAACAGTGCATCAAAACATGTTGTTAAAAATGTATCTTCAAACTCCAAACCACACTTCGACCTAAAGGTCTGCAGTAAAATGAAGTTCTTCTTCTTTTTGTGAATTGTTAATTTGTATAATCATGTAGAAATGTGAGTGACGCCTTAAATGCTGGAAATTCACCATGTCTGGGGTGTGGTCAGTTTATATTCACTGAAAAAAACACCTTTAAGCTCTGACTCATAAACTGCAGCCCGACAGAAGCCTGGTTGGATGGTTGGATGGTTGGATGTGGGTGAGGCCGTGACCTTCAGGGGAGGTCACTCCACCCCTGTCATCATCCTCTCTGTGAGACGCAGTCGTCTGTCATCATCAGAGAAACAGAGACTGGGCTCAGTTTTCGCTTCTTCATTTGTCTGTTCTTTATTTCTGTCCTTCTTGGTTTTTAGAAAAAAATACTATTTTCAAACCTCCTAATTTTAAAACATTTTTAAATTATTTTTGATACAAAGATACAAAACTATTTAATTTTAATTGTATATATGTATAAAAGCAAAGTTAAAATAAACATTTTATCTGTATTCATTAGCTTCGTGAGCTGCAGGTCTGATGCTGCCTCGTGTGGCCCGTTTTGTAACTGTGAAGAATCGTAAAAAAGAGACAGACTCTGAAGTGCAGCGACACTTGTCTCTGTCTTTGAGATAAACTTCGGTGGAAGTTCAGTGTTCATGAACTCTGGGTTCTCGGTGAAAACGTATCTTTAATTAAAAAGCAGCAAAGACACAGTTAAAGAACCACAGACTTAATCTGACATGGTGTCTCAGACTGGTTCTCAGCAGCAGGGGGCGCACACAGCACAGTCGCTGTTAACTTTGATGGTACATAAATACTTTCAAACCAACGTAACTTAATATTAAATCTCATTCAACCAAATGAAAATAATTTTATAAATCTAAACTCGGTACTCTCGTAGCAATTTTCTTTTTGAGGTCTTTAACGTCACACAACAACTCCTCTGAACCTCAGCAGTCGTCACCTCCTCACCACTGACAGTGTCGTTATTTGGGCCTGGGATTACAGCAGAACAAAGGTCAGGTTAAATCTTTGGGAAAACTCCTGGTCTCCTGCAGCGATCCGCGGCTCTCAGCCACCGTTTAGACATTCAAGGCGTCCCCAGCTTCCGTGTCTTTTGTGGGCGACCGGGGGAGGTTTTCACTTCAGCCACGGCTGGATCTGAGCCGTCAGCACTCCGCCTCCATGTAATTAGTGTCAGGGTCTAAGGTCAAGGCAGGATTTAAGTCTAAGACCCACTGGTCAGTCTGCAAACCTGAGGAGATGAAATCCTCCTGAGACGGAGCTGTGGAAACCCCACTGCTGACAGATCACAAACACACACACACACACACACACAGAGAGAGAGAGAGACAGAGAGATTAGTATAAGCACAAACACAAACTAAAGATTTATCACTAATCTAACAACAAACACACAATCTGTGGAACCAGTGGAATAAAAACTGAGGATTCTTCAACGACACAGAGGCTGGAGCTGGAGCTGCTCACCGTTAGCTACCTCTCTGTTAGCTAACTCTCTGTTAGCTTACCTCTCTGTTAGCTAACTCTCTGTTAGCCGTTTCTCTGTTAGCTATGTCTGACTCTAACTAAAGTTTAAGTCTCCGTGGGTTTAAACTTGAGAAAGTTTTCAAATGGTTTGGTTTAAAGACGATACAAAGACGAGGAATTTAATGAGCGATTTTTAGAGACAAAAGGTTCCAACCTTTTTGGGCTCGTGACCAAATTTCTGGAGAAAACAAAAACTTTTTTTTGTGTTTGTATTTATAATTTTATAAAAAGAATAGTGGTTAGTTGAGAAGATATTTTTATCAATCAGGTGACCCCACATGAGGTCGCATCCCCAGTGTTGAAAAACACTGCACTAAGCTGTGAGGTTCAGACCAGGAATAAGGGGACATTTTCAGAAGATCAGAGGCTTATTTTGCTTTAATGTATGCAAAATATGTATTTTAATTCAACCTTTATTGACAAAATTGCGAAGAAGTACAAAAAGGTAAAATAAAAAAACAACTATATAAGCCCATATCAAACTATCTGCCCCCCAGAAATGTTTCAAATCCAGTTAGATAATAGAACTAAAAAAGGCTAAGAACAGACGCAGACATGAACACACACACACACACACACACACACACACTCAGAGAGTGAGTGTGATGTTCCTCTGGTACCGGTGGTGGTGACAGTGAACAGTCCACACCGGTCACTTCTCTTTGTTTACACCAAAAACACTTCACTTCCTGTTTCTGCGTCTGTTGCGGAAAGAGGGGGGAGGGGTCTGTCAACGAGTGTCCGACCACGTCGTACACCAACGACATCGACAACAAACGCACAACAACAGCAGGAAGTGCTGTTGTTGTGCTGTGGACTAAACTTCCTGACCAATCTGACCTCTGACCCTGCCACACTTTCACCTGCTAAGGTCACGGTTTTATCGCAGGGTCGTCAGCGGCTCAGCCCAGGAAACACACACTTACTGTGTGTGTGTGTGTGTGTGTGTGTGTGTGTGTGCATTAGTATTTCAGCAGTAACTTTTAAATGTGTAAAAATAACACTTGCCGTCTTGACATTTATTTGTCAGTGTTTGTTGGTCCCTAAAATGACATTTCTTGTTCTTTTAATTTTCTTTGAGTACTGTATATTTTCTCTTCAACAAAAGTTCTTCTGTAAATGTCCACAGTTTCACATTTAGCCTTTAGCTTCTCGCCGTTCAAACATTTAGCAGTCACCTTTTTATTTCCTACCTTGAAGCTGAACAAAGGCCTTTTTGATTGTTGATATGTGATAAACAAATACTTTTGGAATATCAAATCCCTCGTTTGCCAATCTTAGCTTGACTGTTCACATATATTGTTTAATAACTGCAGCTCTAATGACAGGCTCTTACATAACCTCTCTCCCTCTGTCTCTCTCTCTGTCTCTCTCTCTGTCTCTGTCTCTCGATTCTTTCTTTCATTCTTTTTTCTGCTCCAAGTTTTTTCGTTCTTTTTCGGGGTGAGCAGTCGGTCAGAGCCCTGTTAGCTTTTTTTCAGCCGCCCGCTCACACACAGAACAAGCTTTCACTTCATCCTACACGGGACACACAGTGGTAGAGTGGTTATTCCGCTTGTCATACAGCAAGAAGGTTAATAAACAAAGAAAAGTTCATTTTAGGGAAACAAGAAAATCAGGGAATTGACTAATTTGAATTGTTTTGTTTCTTAGGATTTTTCAGCACCAACTGTGAACTTCCTGCTGCTAGTTCCTGCTAAAAAAATCATATTTAACAATTCTTGAACAAAAATTCTCATATTTTGGTTTAAATATGAATTTACTTTACTTTTGGAAATTTGAAAACGACCAAATGAAAAAACAATGACCCATTAACATGGTGATTAGAGCTGCCGTCACCGCGGCTCCCTGAGACACTCAGCAGCTAATTGTTAGTTTGTCTGTAGGCCGTGTGACGACTCTGTGGTGAGGAAGGGCACACACAAGGTCAATTGTCCTTCGCCTGAATCCGTTCAGCCTCGGCTCTGATGTTAGCGGACGCTAACGAAGCAGGACATGTCATTATTCCAGGGTTCACGGAGGACAGAAACCAGGAGCTCGTTTCACGCCTCGCTGCGTCAAAGTCCACGAGCAAAATCAGATCATTTCAACTTCGCTCATTCCAACATCAGCAGCTGTCATTTGGAAAATGAGGCGACGCGAAGGGCTTCGAGAAGATTCTTGTTTTGAACATAACAAAAGCAGTGGGACATAAGTGAGGACAGAAAATCAAGGGAATATTAGGAAGGTCAACTACAGTCTGACTTTTCACAAACTTGTGTTGGAACTAGAAGAAATGAGAAAGTTTCTAAGAAAAGACGGAACCTCAGCCACGGTCTGACATCAAACCTGGATCTGGAATTATTAAAAGTTTGATGTGAAAAGATTTTAAAAACAAACATGTCTCCAAAAGTTGGTGGATGTTAAATATAAAAATGTTTATATATTGTGCTATCGAACGGACGATCAGCTCATCAAATCTTCTCGACCAATGGAGTTCATCTTGGAGAAACCTTCTGTCAATCAGTTCCACCTACTGTTAACCTTGACTTCCACCCACAACATCTTTACTAATGATCTCCTCCACTGGTCGACCAATCATCTTGGATCTGTTACCTCGATCACTAACCTCGACTTTTCATCTCATCTCCTCACCACCACCATGTCCTTTCACCAGTACCGTCCTCAGATCACCTCCACCAAAGACGTCTACCAATCACCTCCCACCAGTGATTTTCTTCAGCCTATCAACTCCATCGATCTCCGTAACAGTTCACCTCAACCAGTCACCTTGACCCAAGTGATCACCTCTCCTCCTCAGCCCTGTTGTCCTGCCTGACCGCGGTCAAAGGTTGCTGCACCTCCCAATTAACCAGCCAGACCCCACGGACCCCCAGCCCGTCTTTAGAACTCCAACAATGCAACAGGAGACTGAAGCAGTAATGACTTCCTCTAAGATGAACTAAACCCCGTAAACTGTCCACACACTTCATCAGGTCGAACGTCTCCATTCGCCCGTCGTTGATTCTTTTTCATTTTTCATTTTTTTTTGGTTTAGTTTTTGGAATAAAACAACATTTCCTGTGAGTTTGCGCCCGGGTCCTCACCCAGTGCTGACTGCTCACCCTGATAATTAGATCATGTCTGCTGAAGGCTTCGGGACAAAGACGTGTAAATTGTGATTAAACTTGCAGCGGCGTTTGATGGCTGCCGCCTTTCACGGTGTCTAATCGCTGCTGACAGTTCCTGCTCACAGATTCTGTGACAAACTTCTCAGGGATTTTTGAACTTTGGCTGCTCCTGCCGGCGGCCTCAGCCCTGGGCCTCGGCCCCGGCTCTGTCAAACAATCCAAAACCATTGACCCAATTGTCCAGTGGTCCCTCTCCGACCACCTCAATGAGCTCTTAGCTGCCATTCAGCGCCGCGGCGGTTTATGGTCATTAAACTCTGGTTCTGTTCTGAAGCTTGAATACAAACACTAGAGGGAGGGGGGAAAGAAAACACGGAGCGGCTGCAGGTGTGGGTCTCAGCGCCGGACTTTCCCACCGACGTGGCCTGGCGCCACCAGGCCAACTCATTAGCTCATGACAATAAGGAAGGAGGCATTTTTTTGTTTGATTAAAAATCTCATTAATGGACGAACAAAGGGCGCATCGTGACCTCTGCGCTGCCCTCTTCTGATCCGAATATGCTGCCGTGGAATTAAGCGTCTAATTGCGACCCTCTTGGCGCCTCGCAGATTTTCCCTCTGTCTGACCTGCCAGTATTTGGCGTGTGAGGAGTGAAAGAGGAGCTAAAGACAAGCGGCCTCCGGGGGGCGATGTGTAACCTAATCAGTAAAAGAGGCTTGCGCGGTTGACGTAGTACACACACAACACATTCATACGGCTACGTACGAGTGTTGGAACGCAGCCATGTACAAGTTTTTTTGTGTTAATCGGAAGATTTGTAACAATTAATCACAATTAATTACGTCATTATCCGGTTGTGATTTTTGACTCAATAAGTGAGTCCAACCTTCAGTCTATATTTATTAGTTAAACAGTTGATGCTTTCTTTATTAAGTTGGCACTGGATTCAGTCTCTCTGGGGGCAGGGGTTCGAAACCCACCGCTGCCTTGCACGCTTGATTTTGTGTGGCTCTATAGTAAAGCGGTCAGCACACCTGCCTGCCAAGCAGAGAGAGTCCTGGGTTTGATTCTGACTTACTTGGGGCAACCTGTTGCAGCAGATCTTGCATTACTGACACCTGGTGGACAGGAATGTCTGCACTATTGATACTAGAGGGTCAGAATTCAGAACTATGAAACGTAGAATTAAATGCTTTATTTTGCTGTAATTATTATTAAATTAAAAAGGAGTTGATTTTGGTTCACAAAAATACAGGAGATATTGGGCTAGTGCTGCCCCCTGTGGTCAGTTGGTGTCACAATTCAATTGGACAAATATTAGATTTAAGTGAACAATGTCAACATCACCATGTTTAACTAGTCGTGTGTTTGGTTGTAGAACCACAGACTGTCTGTACTGGTGGTGCTGTGGGAGGGTGGGGGCGTGGGGGGGGGTGGGGGGGGTCTCCCTTCAGTCCCAGGGTGGGGTGTGGTTGTACTGCGGATGAAAAGCAAACAGCCTGTGATGATGGAGTGATGGTGGAGAGAGAGAGAGAGAGAGAGAGAGAGATGAAAGCAGGCAGGAAGTGAGATGAGTGATTGACAGGTGGACAGAGAACAAAGTCTGCTCCGGATTTCGTTCTTCGTCTTTTATTTCTTCTTTGTTGCTCACGCTGCAGTTTCAGACTCTGTTGTGTTTCCGTTGCTTATTATCATTCGGTAAAACAAGCCCGTAGGTTTACGTTGACATTTAAGTCGTTCACGTTTTAACACCTGCTGGTCTGAGCCCACCTCCCCTGAATAAGACGATCACATATTTTATCATTAACCCTTTAATGGCCGGGGTTAGAAGTAAACTCAAACCCAACCGTGACAATCTTTGATTGATTGGTTTATTAATAAATCTAAATCCTCCACTGCTGTTTTTCCTGCTACTCTTTGACCTCGGCCTCCCGCCTCCTGCCTCCTGCTGTGGTTTCCCAGAGGCCCCCGGGGCAGGAGCTGCCGCCTCCTTCCCCTCCAGCCCCGCCTTAACAGGAAAGCCCCCAGACTCCTGCCAAATTCCTCGCTCCGAGGCGACAGGGGGCCGAGCTCTCACCGCAGGCCTCGGAAATACCTGAGATTTATCCACTGCCGCGTTCACACCAGTTTACACCTCGATTATTTCAAACTGGATTATTCCTCAACATTGGAATTCTCCAAAAAAATGAAAAAAAAAACAAACAAAAAAACAGATTACTTTATAACCAGTCTGAAAAATCTGATTTAGAAAAAAAATCTTTAAAATCCAGCACATTTTAACAATCTGATTCTTTAAGACGTGCTATAAAAATGTTTAAAATTTTAGCCTTCAGATGTTTTCAGTTGGATCATTTACAGCTAGATTCAAATAGTTAAATATAAACTGTTAAAACAAAATTTAAAAAAAAGATTTTACTATATAAATTCCTTGATCAGATATTAACAATGTTTAATATCTGTTTTTTCTATTTATTTGAGTTATATAGTTAACTATTCTAAAATTCTCATATTTTAACCTCATTGTTTAAAATTTACTTTGTTAAAAAATTTTTTACTTTTTTTATTGTTTTAAAATCTCTGTTTACATCAAATATACAATGAATTGAATTAATGAATCTTAGATTCAAATGTTTAAAGTCAATTTCTTAAAAATAAATTTCCACTTTTTATTTTAACTGATTGTTTCAAACAGGATGAATTGAAAGCAGTGGGTAAAAACGGTTTTAAATCCAGATTATCCAAACATTTAAAACACCCTTGAAGTCTTAAAATTAAATTGGTAAAGGTATTTAAATGTTTTTTTTTTCCAAAACTGAAACTAAAGTCTTTTAATATTTCAATGCAAGATTTTCTAAACTTTTTGTAAACCAGAGTTTTGTGACGTTATCTCATTGTTTACGTGTCCCAGAGTTCCGTTAATATCTTAAACCGCACCTTTTAAACAAAAACAAAAAAACACGGTCCGATAATACCAAACGGTTTAATTGAAATAAATGAGTAAATAAACGAACGTCTTCACTTAGCAGTAAAAGTTGGTCCTCTGACTCCATCTGGTGGTTAAAATGTGAACAACTTACAAAATATAGATAAAATACAAGATACAATTTTAAAATGTCATTTTTTAAAAACTCAGTAAATTCATAACAACACACATTTCTGTTTGCTGAAATATTTATTTACAGATTCTTAACTAGTGGCCTTTATATGAAAATGAAAAAAGTTCAATTGTTTTATTTACAGAAGCTGTAAATTCTTTACATGAAAAATACAGGAAGGTCAAAAACTTACAGAAAACTAAATATGAAGTTGAAAGAATTTACATGAAGTTAAAATACCTCAGACATGAATGAAGCAGAGGTTTAATCCCATTGATAATCTGGAGTGGAGACAATGATTAAAGGAAAAGTCTAGAATATTACATTGAAAATGTCCATATTGCACTTGTGTTAGGTTCGAACTGCGGGCATTAACCTCTAATATGACCATCATCATCATCATCATCATCATCATCATCATCATCATCATCATCATCATCATCATAATTATCTGCGGTTTCTGAAATTCTCATTAGGGCTGTCACTTCAGACTGTATTTACGCCCTCAAACCGCAGAGGGCGCTTTAGATGCTGCTGTAGCTTAAGTTATGGTGACACTGAACGGAGTTCACATTTATGTGATAAAACTACATAGAAAGTCAAGGTCAAAGCGGTTTGATGGACAGAAGTGACAGCCCCAATGTTTATTAGTATTTGTGATATTTCAACGACGGGTTGATGTTTCGTCATCTTTGATGAGGAATGTTTTAGTTTGATGGTCAGTCTTATTTTCAATACTGTTAAACCCTGGAATTAAACCAGTTTGATAAAAGTTAGTTCACACTTCTCATTTCTTTTTGGTCAGAATCAAACACTGAATGTTTTTAAAGGTCCAAACACAGCACTCTGCTATGTTGTGTTTTAGTGTAGACAGCCTGTAGTTGTTAACTGTAGTTTGTGTTAGAGTGTGGACGATTATACACCAGACTATTGTGATGGTTGTAGTGTCAATAAATATGAACCAGTCTTTTATTTTGAAAGCTAACGCTCCTTCTTTAGTGGACTACGGGCCTTACGATGCACATGCCAGGCTCTTGTTTTTCTAGTGCAGGAGTGACTGATACTGTTATTTTGAAGGTATGTGGCTGTGTTTAAAGGTAAAAAAAAGACATTTGGGGAATTATAAGGCTGAGTTTTTGTGCAGATTTGAAAAAGATGGGTCTGCACAGATGCAGAAACTGTGGCTTTTATTTTGGAAAGTGTAGGGTGTTCTGTGTATAACTGGGTTTTTAAACTTCCTGCAGCAAAAATCAAAAACTTCATTCTCATGCTGAGCTAAATAAAATAGCAGAATTCAAAGTCGCATCACAACTCTTTTCAGCAGGCTAAACTATTTCATTGCATTTCAGGGAGTGCACTTGTTTTGTTTTTTGCTGTGGATTTGAAAGAAAACGTCAGGGCTAAGAAGTTGTGTCCGTGTTGAAGGACAGCTCAAATCAAGTGACGTGAAGGAATTGAGATTATGGAGGAGTAATTACAGGTTGTTGCAGGAAGATAACGAGAAAAGTTTCACTGCGGTTGGCTCGCCCAGAGCCAACGCTTCACAGTTGTGTGATTAATGCAGCGTTAAAAGAACATCACCTAATGTTGTGCGTCCGCTTTTGTGACGCAGCATCTGCGCTGATGCAGCGTTAAAGTGCTGTCAGATGAAATGTTTTCAAAAACACTGGTTCAAAAAAAGGCAGCGGTGAAAGGCTCCAAAACCTGGGACAACAGTCGACTTCCTTTAGAGAGTTAAATTTTTGTTTTAGCCACATTTTTGTCACTTACTAAACAAAGATGTGACAGGAAGCTGTCGTCTGTTGCAGCTCCCTCCTCACCATCTCTGCCTCTCAAAAATCTGACTCTAGTAGAACTCATCCTAAATATTTCATTGCGGTCGCCCCCACCGCGAACAATCACTGATCGTTATTTTGTAGCTAATAGCTGATGATCTGAAGTTTCCCCCTAACACCTGAACTCTTCATATGAGGAAGTAGCAAATGGCTGCAATGTCAAAGTGCAGGAAAGTAACAAAAAAAAAAGACGTAAAGTGAAACCACATGGTTGTAAAAATCGTCATCAACAGGAGTCATGTCAATAGCACCAAAAAATGATAGATTCCAAGTCACACCATCAGTCTGTTTCTACTGTTACTGTTGACGACATCACGGTGCAGGAGGTTCAGTCCTTCTCACGTTGTCTGAAGGTTTCATTTTCAGACATTAATCAGCGACTCTGCTATGGCTCCAAAAAAAACAAATGTGTAAAGTGAAATACTGACAGTGGTGTTTTTATGTCCAATCAAAGATCCTGGAGGGCTTTCTGATCCCGTTCACATGTTGTAACATCACCTTTTGGTGTGTCCATCCTCTGATCTCTGCGAGCCTGAAGCTCCGTAGCGAAGCGGCTGGAGCGAAGAGTTTGGCTCAACAGCTTTTAGCCGTTTACCCTTTAGTGTTAGCCTCAGTGCTAACAGAGCGAGCAGCCATCTACGGCCTGGTGGCGTGAGTTAGCTTTTTACTTCAGTGTGGTTAGCTTCTGAGCGCCGGGCTGTTGTTTCTTTCTGTCTCTTTGTTTCCATCCTTCGTTAGAGCAGAAAACACCTGAAAAGAAAAGAAAACAAGACCATCGTCAGGCCCAAACCGTGGCTCAAACCCTGACCTCCGACCGTGGAGCCTGAGCAGACCTGAGCCCAGCGAC